ACGTAAACCTGGAGCCTGGCGGATTGGTTAGAGGGTTGTCGGACCGCAGTTTTCCCGCCGAAATTGTCGATGCGGCTCCAGTCGCCGCCATGGGCCAAATCCCCTCATATCCCAGGTCGAACCCATCAACTGCTTCCATTTCAACCTGGACACAGAAGAGTGGAGAGGGAAGGGGTGCCTTCATGTGCCAATGTGCAGAAAAACAGGTGCACTGTGAGCTCCACGCTACAGGGCACACGTTGAATGTTCACAAGGAAAGTCAACAGCAGCTTGCTACGCAAAGGTCGAATGGCCAAGTATCACAATAGTTAGCAGCTTTTCAACAGTGGGCACCTCGTATGCTAACCTAGCGTATCACATACTTGCCGAAAGGTGAGCCTGAAACAATTGCCAACAATTCTTGCAGTGCCCAAGTTGCTCGCCTGCGATGATGGTCCATAAAGAAGAGGGATAAAGCCATAAAGAAGCCAAGAAGCCACCCCAGCTTTACTCTTCAGCGTAAAGATATCAACGGGAAGGCCCGAGTCCGGAGTGGCAGCAACTGATGCTGGAGCTGAATTCGTTTGTTCTGCTCGTGCCCACTCATAGCTAATTGAGTTGAAGCTGGAGACAGGGGGTGCCAGCGCAGAGTTTAAAGAAGATGAAATTCCGTTCGTCGCTTCGAATATCTTGGTGACTTCCAACGAGTAAGAGAGGAAAAGTAGGAGCATTGCAAGATAAAGCAGGGAAATAAAAAGCTGACCGAGAGGCTGTCTCTTCATGAGCAATTGCTGGACTTCTTCAACGTTCCTGGCGGACTCTTCAAAACGAATGGGGAATAGCTTTCTCCTGAACATATCCCTCCTTAAAAGTGAGGTTTGCCCCTGAAGCACGTTTCCAAGACCCATCTGATTCGGGTCTTTTAGCAGAAGCCGCTTCTCATGGTGTTTTTGTTTCGCCTTGTAGCCAATATCAATCAGTGCCTTTTTCTGCTCTGGTGTGTTGGAAGGACTTTCAAACCTCTTCTTCTCCCTAATTGCCGATGCAGCAGCTAAGTTGGCTTCGTTCTCCCATTGCTGCTGCTGCGTCAGCTGCCCTAACACACTTTCCAAACCACCTTGGAAGCGAACCCCTTTTTTCTGCTCCATTGTGGTTCTCTACGCGGAAAATAGCAATGATCACACGGGGAAACTCTTAAATTGACGTTGTTGGGAAGGTAATTGCTGCTAGGAGCGTCGATGGCATTATGCCGCCGGCAATTTCCGTCACTTCGGTGGTGACCTCCTTACATCCTTGCATCCACCGGTCCACTTCCAGAACTTTAGACACTCTGTAGACAAACATATATGTATAGAAATATTATACTAAGGAGGTTTCCCCAGACAATCCCAACGCAAAACCGTGGAGCTGTAGGCGAGGCACTGGACTGGTCAAGGCGCCGCGGGAGTGGAACACGACGTGTTGAGGAAAGCCAGACGGCATTTCATCGTGCTTTGAGTCAAAGAGTTTTTAGTACGTTCCTAAGTAAAGTAATATGAAGTAAAGTAATATGCAGCTTCCTGAGAGTGAGAAGTCGATAGCTGTACCGGACCGCCCGCCCATTCACTTCGCCCAGAGACTCTAGATGTGGGAATAGCCAATTGCTTGAAGGACCCAGTCCCCGTTCTGCAGCTCCTACGGCAATTTCTCGTCTTTCGAAATGTATGAATCTGTCTCGTAGAATTCTTGGAGAAGTTCTACGGGGCGCGGTGGGCATTCACCGGGTCGCCACGGCGGTCAGGTGGATGTGACTTCATTGAGACTTGCTCGATGCGAACTGCCCGTAGCCTTCCTGTAGCCGAGTTCCAGTACCTTTCCCACGCTAAAGCTGAGGGGCGCTGTGCAAGTAAGCCGTCAACCGGGGATCAGGTTGTGGAGAGTGCTGTCCTCCGAGTGCGAATGTTGACTCTTGTGCCTGGCACACGATGCGGGAACTTCGACGGGAAAAATTCGCTCTGCTGCCCTCAACAAAAGCGAGGCTCCTCATGATTATNATGATTATACACTAGGGACAGCTGTAGCTTTTTTGGCCTCTACCGGGAAGCCGCGGAACGACAACCTCCTCTCCAGTTCCCGACCTTATATGGCAGCCCAAGGGCTCGTTTGTTGTCGAAATTAAGCGGACATACCACTCCACCAACTAAGAACGGCCAGGCACCAGCACTCATAGAATCAAGAAAGAGCTATCAATCTGTCAGTCCTTCCCATGTCTGCGTCTGGTAAGTTTCCGCGTGTTGAGTCAAATTAAGCCGCGCGGGAGCAGTGGTTATGTTACACAGAGGACATACATTCCGTTACGTGACTCTTTCACAAACAGCTGCAGAAGACACACTTCCTTGATCTCCTGTAGTGCTCCCTACAAAGTGGTCTGCAGGCGTCCGTATTGCGAAATAACCTCAGTGTTCTTTTATTTTATGGGTTGCAGCTGCTCCTTCGTGACCCGTTGAATTTTGAAGCAAGGGCAGGTAGAAGCGTTATGCCCATGGAGCACAGAGTACCGTAGGGCTGTCTGACACCATCTGCAACGACAGAGCGTCCGACAGCAGTGAGATCAAACCAGGCCAATGAGATCCTCCCCCTGATTTCGAGGTTGCGTGGTTGATGGCTTAAAAATGTCGTTCATATTGCCTCTCAGCATGCTTCCATGTCTATGCCATTACAGCATTATAAAGCAAGCTTCGCGTTGTTTTCTTGACGCAAATTCTCCCCATGACGCACTTATTGACGAACCCAATCCCAGCACTGCGAATGTTGCAAACAAATGCCATAAGTCAGAGGCAAGCATTGCCACCTACTAACCTTGCACAGAAGGAATGCAATCAACCTGCAGAGATTGCTTACGCAGTTGCCGTGACTATGCGCAAGACTAGGTCTCTTTGTAGAGATAGCATGCTGTCCGAGGTGGCTGATATAGGCTGCAGCTAAACAAAAGACCTTTCTTGCTACAGCAATTTATTGTGCGGTGGGGCGCCGAAGTGCGGTGACGGAGTGCAGTGGAGGAACAAGTCTGCCCCATTCCTCAATTCATTGCTGCTTATTGTGAGATCACCCGTGTCAGAGCCTCACTCAGCCGTGAATAGTTCCCACAGCCCAACGAACGTCATCCTTGCGTTGTTTGCAGTGTCATCATGACAGAAAGTTTCACTCAAGGGTGAAATACCTGGCTGCCCAATGAGCCATTTTAAATTAATTAGCTTAGGTGTTAGGTGCATCTCTTGGCTTGTGCACAGATGAAATTGCGGCTCGTCCCCTTTCGTCTAGTGGACCGTTGTGGGTATTTCTTGTCAACTGCTGCATTGGGGTTCAGTTGAGCCTTTCAAATGTGCTGGGCGGCTCATCAAACTGCACCAGTGAGAACCCTCAATACGAACATAATGCGAAGAGCCCCCCATAACTTTTAGAGGGCCAAGCCAATGCAAGAAATATGTGAAACAACGTAGTGTGCTGTCGTGCGTACTCTCGTGCAGCAGGTACGTTCTGGCCTAGTCTAGCTTGACAAGCGCGCGGGAACTTTTTCCAAACAGCAGCATAGATGATTGCCACTATGACAGCGCATACAAGTTTCGTCTAGCGCTTTGGGAACGAACCTACGACGGTAGAACCGCAACCAGCGTCAGTGAAGGCACAGCGGAAAATCGTTTACATGAGTAAAGCTTCTGTGTTCCCCTCCACCCGAATAAAAGGCGTTTCCTGCCCTCTAAAATACCTCTATTCGAGAAGGCAGTCACCATGGATCAGCATGGCTTATAGGCAGACAGAAGCGGGTCGCGAGTAACCAAGGGCCCGGAGTGTCTCCTCATGCGGTTTTCCGGTGCCAAAGACATTGCAGTTTTGCGGCATTGGTAATCCCAAGAGCTTGAACTCAAAAGGGCTCTTAAAGCAAAAGCCCAGATAGATGGCGGAGATGCTGCGTGCATCTTTCACCGACCACCATCAGGTTTATGCGCGAATTACTGCTCGAGCACAAGCGTCACTTGACCACCTGCGAGTGTGAACGTCCCGACATGACTTTGAGCATTTCGCATTAGTGAAACTAAGATCAAACGAGTAGAAAGCAGACTAAAATGCGGGTGCCTACGAATTTGGTCTCAGAAAGGGCGCCGCACCGCACACGCGCCGGGACACCGGCTCCCGCGGTCGCTTCTTGCACGCGCCATGATTCTCTACATCTGCGGTGCTTCTGAAAATAAATTGGGCCGTTTATAATCGATTTGTTTTGCTAATTCGTATCTTCTTTTGCCACCTGTTTCTGTTTTTCTTCCCTGATTTGGCTTCTGCCATCCAAACACATACTACGCAAGCCACTGGTCTGCCAGTGGTCCCTCAGGTTGCCAGCCTGCACTTACGCGTGTTTCGTGGGTTATGCTTTCCACGTAGGCTTTCAATACACAAATATACAACTGAAACCATTCAAAATAATCAAAATAGTCTCTGAAGCGGCGAACTTCGAGCTGCATCCTTGTTTGTGTGCACGGCGAGATGGCGAACGCGCAGACACAGAAGACGGACATCCCCGAGTGCCTTGCGGCCCAAATTAAGGGTGATACTGGAAAATCTCTGGCAGACATTGAAAAGGAGTGGGCAACACAGCTAAATGCTAGGCACGACCAGCTGAAGTCCCTCGAGAGAGAGGGCCAAACAACTGTAGCGCGCTTTTTTCAGAAGGTCGCAGAGGACGGCGCAGATCGGGTGTTCTTGGTGTATGGAGGGGCGCTTGAAGGAAATGAAGATGGGGATAGCTTCACACAGTGCTGCACGAGGGTTTTGACTTATCGTCACGTAGACCATGCCAGCAACAGTGTCGCAGCGTGGGCAACTGAACTAGAGGGTAAAAAGCCTACCAAGTGTGGTTCTTGTAAGACCAAAGAACGTACTCAGTCATGCGCGGAATGCACGCGTAACTCTCGTGTGGTTGCCTTGATGATGCACAGCAGTCCAGAATACTTAATCGTGTTCTTTGGCCTCTTGAAGGCGGGCATAACTGTAGCTCTGTTGCATCCTCAGCTTCGAGGGTGTCTCTTGCGGAAGGCACTTATAGAGGCTAGCGCGGAGATGCTGATCTGCGACGACCTGACCCTCAGCTCAATGCGGACAGCATGGCTGAAGACATCGGGGGATGAACAGGACGCAGCGATCGCTGCGGTTCGCCGCGAAGATGAGGGCCAACCGGGATCCTACCCCTGCTCTGTGTACATCTGCGGACTCAAAGACGCGAAAGAGTCTCACGGGGAGCACAACCTGATCCCCCAAGTGCACAGCATCGTAAAGGAATTTCTAACGGATGAAGAGGTAGCCCACCAACGCGAGAACACGGAAACAAGGCCCAAAGATGGACAGCACAGATGCAAGCCCTCTGGATTCCCTCTTCTTTTGAAGGAGTCGCTGCGCAAGCTGCTAGGATCCCGTTCCGAGCGGCCCGCTGCGTCAGGTACACACTGCTCTGGCATGTCCCTGCCATGTTGCTGCCTATATACCGCCGACCTTGAAGGGCACTTGCGTGCAACGTGGGTTTCCAACAGCCGCATCCTTTCAGCGGGTTTTTGCTGGCAGCAAGCTGTGAATCTGACTGACTCCGACCGCCTCTTGCTGGGAGTACAGCTGTCCCACGAGGTGGGGCTCCACGCCCTAGCAGCTGCAATTGCTTGTAAGGGGGCCTTGTTGCTGCGGTCTCGGAGCAGCTTGCTAAGTCTGTGGCCCGATGTTAAAGCCATGGATGCCACTGTTCTCTGGCACACGGGGATGATGTGGTCCAGGCTGCTGAAGGCCCACGAAAGCTTCCATGGAGGAGACGAAACGCAGCGTCTGGGCTCTTGGAGTGGCAATCCGCAGCTGCGAGCAAGCATAGGAACGGGACTGTCTGGGGCGCTTTGGCCTGTGGTGAAGAAGGTTTTCAACATTCCCCGCATTCTCGACTTTTACTCTCCGCGGAATCTTCAAACTCCGCAAATCCTCTTCAATGCTTGGAACGTCCCAGGAGCGTGCGCTTTTGTCCCGGAATTCGCCTGGAACTCTAAGGAGCTTGAAAGGATTGTGGAGTTCAATGAGGAAAAAGAGGAAGTCTACAGGCACCCAACGACGAAGAGGGGCAAAGAAGCTACTAGAGAAGAAAAAACGCTTCTTCAGAGAGGTCAGTGAATGGGTTCATATACAGGGATACTTGCTTTTGAGGTCAGCCGAGTGCCGCTGACCTCAAAAGCGTGTATATATGTATGTATGTATGTATGTATATGTATGTATTGTATATGTATGTATGCATATGTATGTATATGTATGCATATGTATGTATGCATATGTATGTATATGCATGTATGTATATGTATGTATATGCATATGTGCATATGAATGCATATGCATATGTGTGTATGTATACGTATGCATATGTATACATATGTATATATATGTAAGCATACGTATATGTATGTATATGTGTATATGTATATGTGTATGTGTATACATGTATATGTATGTATGCATATGTATGTATGCATATGTATGCATGTATGTATGCATACATACGTATGTTTATGTATTCATGTACATGCATGTATGCATGTAAGCTGCATCTAGTTTTGCGCGTATATGTATGCGAAATTGGAGTGGTTTCCCGCACCCATCGTATGCGTACAATTCTCAAACGCTTTTTGCTCAGGCGAGCTGGTGTCGCATATAGACCCTGAACACGGCCTGTGCCTCTTCACAAGCGAAGGAGAAACTGAGCAATTTCTGTACAGAGACCTCCTCGAAGGAGGGGACATCTGGTGCCGATCAGGGGACATAATAGAGAGAGACGCCGCCGGGTTCCTCTATCTCTCCAAACGCATCGGCAAGTTCACTGCACCAGAATTTCTATCGTTTTCCGTGTTCAGCGGTGCTGTATTGCTCCACAAGTACATTGTGCCACGCAAAGAACTACTCCCATTTTGTGAAGATTTTCTTTCTCGGTGTAGTGAAGTCGCTCAGGGTCTTGCCGTCGAGTTGTATTCCTCATATTCATGCGTAAGGATTAGAGCTCGCATTTGCTTTATTGTTTTACAGGGCCCAGCTTCTTCATAGACGGAGAGGCGGCGCCGTTGCGTGAACTGGCAGAGTCGCTTGTACACGAGCCCGGTGTTCGGGGTGCATGCGTCGAAGGGCTACACGTGTTTGCGAAAAAGGAGGCAGCGCAAGAAGGAACAGTCGAAACAGAGTTGAAAAAGCAGCAAGAAGGATGGCCAGGAACAACCTTCGAACTGTTGCAGACGGGCCAACGGCGCCACAGGCTCAAGGTAAGCACTCTCAATTCCGTGAATTGAGTCCCAGGTCCGAAGGTTTGTGTGTACGCTATAGTGGGAGCTAAGTTGCCGAAGTGCGCTTCTATTTTCTGTATCGTGTCTTCTCAGTGCCTCGTTGCTTGCATTCATGCGAAGCTAGAGGTAAACGAAACAGACGCAAATAAAGCAAGCGGCAGCAAGGCGCCTGGCTGTGGGGCCCTAGACCTCGATGATAAGCTCGTAGTGCTGGGTGAAGAAAAAGAGGTACGTGGCTGGAAAAGGCAAGAAGGGGCGCAAGATCTCGAGGAAGGCTTGGCCATGATTACAGTCAGGGCTTTTCTGCGAAGAATCCGCAGCAGCCTTGATCGCGGCGTCCACTTGGCCATCCGCCCGAAAGTCTTGATGCTCTGCCTCTCCACGTGCTGCAACGAGGACTGCGAGCACAAGCAGGAGGGAAGCACATGCAATTCGTGCAACTCCAAGATGGACCAGAAAGTGTGCCAATGCGCTTGCGGGTGCTGCTGGGGCTGTGAGCAGTGTTTCTGCAGCCGGGAGAGCCTGCAGGGCCTCTGCGACCTCGTAGCCAGCCAGGACTGCTCTCAAGGAATTGCTTGTAAGAGAGGGTGCAAGCGTTGTTGCTTCCTTTTCTACGCCGACTCAAATGGAGATGCTTTCGTCCCCCTCACGAAGGAGAGCTTCAAAGACTTCGTGTGCGAAAGCTACCCGAACTTCGGCATCTAAGAAACGAGACTGTCCCCCCCCTACGGCGTGGTGTTATGCGGCATGCGTTAGGAGGGGCAGCTTTCCTCTCTATGGCATATGGAGCTTCTCAGCTTTCCTATCTATGGCATATGGAGCTTCTTAGCGGAATTTCGATATTGCGAAGAGTTAAATGCGCGTTGTTTCGTTTGCATGAGAATCAGCCCAGCATAAATTTAAGGATGGACCAGACCCTAAAATTTATGCCTATATATGCTTCTATGTAGGCTGTTTCCCGGATACCTATGTTTGTTTACTTATTGTCCATGTTCGTCAATGTTACCTTTGCTTGACACCGTTCGCGCCATTTGTACCGTACTGTAAAGGTATGAATAGGCGCTGTAGATGTTTGGAGAGGCAGACGTTGGCACATCTGCCTGCATCCTTCAACTAAACAGGCAGCGACCCCCAAGCCACATGCACAGTGGGTGGTTTCGACCGACTTGCACTCGTTTCCGCAAGTTGGAAAATCAACTTCACACAACATATATGTACAGTTTGTTCCATGCAACGTATTACCGGCCGCTAGGAAATGCTCGCAGGGAGAGTAAAGAGGCAGGTAGATAGCTAGAGCCTAGCTAGGCTAGTTGCGCAGTGCTGTCGAACTTGACAAGCGATTGGAAGTTCTGTCAGGTTTGAGCTGGAATCTGCCCTTCTACAAAGATACACTTGTAGCAGAGCTGGAATCTGCCCTTCTACAAAGATACACTTGTAGCAGAGCCACTCGCCGCCGATTCAATGCTGCCTAGAAGGAGATGCTGAGATGCGTTGGGGATGCCGATACATACCAATATCCCTCTAGACAACTACCCTGGTTGCTTGCGGTACAGCACCCGCGGAGCACTGCAGAAGCGGAACTGATGCACAGGCTGTCTGATAGGAGGGGAACTAACACCTGTCCCACTACTCAGCTGGTGCTGCAAGCATTGCGGGAGCTCGGTTGAAACATCGGTAAACTATCGGCGCACTATACACGCTGTAAAATGCAGATACGGGTACACATCTCGCTCATATGAGGTACGAGTTTCCATCGGGGGGCGTAGGGTAAACGCCTCACAAGAAAAACTTTGTCTCTCTCAAGATTGTGCGCTGGAGGATGTTGGCTTTGATGCCTACCTTCATACGCCAATGCTGCCATTTTCGCTGGTGCTCGGCCTCTCGCTGCCACAGCAGCCTGCGCTGTTGCGGCGACAGCAACAGTTCTTGCTGCTGCTGCAGAGAAACCACGCCTCTCACTCTCCCCAGCTGCCTTTGCAGCTTGTGCTGCTTGCAAACAGCCAAGGACCACTTGCGGCTGGCCAATGCATGTTGAGGTAAAGCCTGCACGCCGCTCCGCACGTACTTAACACTACACTCATATGCCACCGTGAATACCAGTGTGATCGCGTTGTTGTGGAAACTTGCTACTGCAAGTATCCACGACACGATCAAAATATCGTATTATTGCAGAGACTTGGTAATGCAAGTATCCACAACAGCACGATTTGTTTGGACGCGCTGTTGTTCGGTGTGCGCCATCAACTAAGCATCAGCAATACTCACAGGGGAGCCGCAAAGAAACCAGCAAGAACACCACAGCAGGAACCGAATGAGCGCAAGCACAGCAGCAGAAATAGCGACAGGACCAGCATGAGCATGACCGCCAGGGACATGTGCACCTTACCCCAGCCATGTCCTCCAAGACACACTGCTCAGCCAACTTTGGCTCAAGCCGACGCAGGCGCTGCCGACAAAAGATGGCATGAGACCGATGCAGAACCCTGAACCAAATAAGAATACCGAACATCTCAACCCTAAACTCTGAACTTCCACNAGGTAGTGGACGTATACCGTGGAGTCTACCCAAATGCCTACTCCTGCCCCCCAAACCCTGAGACTGAACGCAAAACACTCCAACGCACTCTTGGCCGTTCGGAAGCAGCAAATGTCCCTCGTCAGTAACCCGTGCAAGACGCCATCCTCTGCAGACAGATAGCCGCCGCCCTAAAGCCCTAAACCCTAAACCCAACGCGAAACCCTAGGTCCTGCGTCCCTGCTCGTGGAGGCGTCTCCCGGAATTCTGAGTCTTCCGCTGAGGGAACACTTGCTGCACTGTGCTTATCTATCTGCATTTTCCACAAGCACACAGCACATCTTGCGCGGCCTTACCTCGCTTTTAGAATTGCCTCCAGCTTCTGCTGCTCTGATGCTACCGTCGTTGCGTCTCCATCGTCGCTGCTGCAGTCCTCCCACTCGCTCTCTTCATCCAGTGTCAGTTCTGCGCCGTCCGCACTTTCTGTTGGTCCGGCACGCATCTCCGCGTCGACGGCAGTGTCCCTAACGCTCTCGGGTGCCTGCAACTGTGGGGCTTTGGGATCAGGCAGACGATCCAGAAGCTGCATGGACAAAAA